ATCTGTTCATTGCTTGGATAGGGGATATTCATTAGAGATTGCTGTTGACACAAGTCATTTTCTAATCGACATAAATTGATAGCTACCATTAGTTAATATTTGTCACAACTTTGGCAAATATTAGTACAACACGCCGGATGCTGCAACGTACAGCACATGCTTCGTAGTCAACTAAAATTTTATTCTATAGAGTTAAAAAAAATATCTGTAATTTATAGCTACTCAACGTATGATTCAATATTTATGGACATGTGCCAGTTCTTCGTAAATATAGAAAATGAGCAATTTATCCACAAATTATTAATATATTTTTAGCGTGGATGAGAAGAGTTAAAAATGAGAGGAATGTGTGTGGTAAGCACAAGAGATATCAAATTAATCATTCTTGAAAGAAAGTTTTTGTGCTCAATTCAATTATCTACGTATATATGTATCTCACTTATGAGATTGTGGTGTATCATCTTGCATTTGATTAAAAAGTACGTGATTAAAGTTACTGCGACTTAGATAATGCCTTTTGCATTCTTGCCAAAAGTCAGTCTTTATCATAAACGGTTTTTGCGGTTAGCGTTATAATAATATTGCGCGCACGATAAGATAAATTATATATGTGTCAACAGTATTTTTTTTTTATGAAATATTTTGAAGCACATAATAAAAGTCGCGTAAAGAATGATTAATAGCGGCAAAACAATAGACAAGAAAAGTAAGAGCAGCGATGAAATTAATAATGCGGAAGGCCACATTTATATCAGACACGAGATGATATAAAAAAAAAATAGGCATAAAAAATATACCACGATATTTACGTGTGTCGTGACTCGAAAATCGAACAAACTACGTATACGTGAGAAAAGCGCGCGACGGCGTTCAAAATAATTCGAGTCGCTCTATAAATACAATACGACATTCAGTCGTATGTGGCGCGTCGCGATGTCCAGATGCTTCACCACGTCTATTCGTTCAACAATCAACGATTTAATCACAAATTTTAATTAGATTAATTGACCGGATGATTCGTATGTATATTAAACGCTAGGAACACTCAGTGTTGAAATCTGAAATTCGATTGTTTAGCGCAAACAACGCGAGGACGTTTTGCCGCTCCAAGATAATATAATAAATTACGTGCAATAAAGTGACATGTTGTGAAAAAGTGCGTATTCATGAATATATTTCCAAAATATTTTGGATACATTTGTAACGTTTTGAAATTGATGTAGTATTCATCGTGAGTATCGATGATTGCGATTTATTCTTGCGCAAGAAACGTTTATTGGCATCTTTGCCAATTAATCGTATCATCAATGTAACAATTGAAACCGTTCGGCGATACATACGCAATTACATAACACATAAATAAATAAATTGATCGAATCACTTTGAAATATGCGCGTTTGATTAACGGAAACAATGATCGACTCTAATAAAAATTAACAAACTATAATTTTTTTAATGCGATCATTTTACAAAATTCTATCTCATATGACATTATACAAGCTTAATTATACGTAATAATTTTTAATAAATAATTGACAAACTATAAATAAATTCACACGAAAAATATATATTTTTTTTTATAATTGCGTGTGCAAAGCCTCAGAAATCTTATAATGTTCTCGTTTGCGGAATCTACAGTGGAAATCTGGAATTAATAAACGTGCTACAATTTTAGATGAGGCGAGACGTGTCGCGTGTCGTTTTTAACGGGGTTTCGCGCGTGATTGTGCCGCAAATCGACGATCACGCGGTCGTCCTCGTCGGCAAAGTGCGTGCGTTTTAAGAGTGGGCACGAAAAATCGGCGAAATTATTTGTCTTGCATGATGGAGAGGCTCAGCGTGGCGGAAATGTTACGCCGGAAGGATAGGAGGCGTCGCAGGGGATGGACGGTGGTCGGGCACGAGTTACGGTAAGTGTGACAAATCACATGATTTGGCCGCGATCTGTCGGGATAAGATATTTTTCGTCGACTAAAATGAACAGTCAGGTAAGACTGTAATATGTCGCGTATGCGACAGGAAGAATATGTTTTCGACCGGAGCCAAAACACTCTGGAGACAGGGACAAAAATAAAATTGCATCGTATTCGAGGCGGCTTCATAAAATCACCCGGATTTTTTCGAAAGTGCATCGATAATTTTTGCAAGGGAGATATACAGGATGCAAGATTTGCATACAATTAATTAAAATACAAGATTTTTTTATTAATCCAGATTTTTTTTTTTTTTTTTTGGTGAACGAAAAGTAGAAAAGAATAACACTTAATTAAAATTTTACGAAGCAAATATCGATTCTAAAATAGTTAAAGAATCTTTAGATGCGAAATATTATATTGCGATATCTTAATCATTATTTAAATCATTATGAGATTTTTTAAATTTCTTTAACTAGAGTTTGATAAAAATGTTTCTCGTAGATTATTTTTGCATATAATTGTTCTAAATCATTTTCGTCAGGACTGCTTTATCAAATGGCTGGCTGTTATCAAATGATAACTTTATCGAGCAATAAAGTGATCTATTGTGAAAGTTTCGGAACTGCGGTAACTTATCGGTATATCAGTGTATATATCAGCTGATAAAACGACCATAGTACCGCCATCTTTCGCGATACAGTCTGGATTTCATGCAACTGGTCTTCTGTACTATATTTAGTAGATCGATGCTGCGGTTACCGTTTCACACATTTTCCAGTTTTACTTGAAGAAGAGTCGATAAGCTAGGTTCCATATTGTAAATATTCTATATTGTTAAATTTGCAATCGCTTTTAACAATAATTTTAGTCCAGTAAATAAATTAAAATATTAAATATGCGTGTATATTATATGTGTATATCTTGATTTAAGAAGAAATATATAATGAAATTTTAGTATTTTATTAGGAAAACATAGTCCGTTTTAAAAAATTATTGTTTTTCTATTTTTTTATAGCTTCTTTACTTTCATTTTCTGCATTTAAAATTAGTAATGCCCCAGAATATCAACGATAAATTTTCACATATATTTTTATCGATTTGAAGAAGGGAGGAATATCTTTTAATGCAATTTAAAAATTTTAATAGATAATAACATTATTACATCCGTAATGTATCCAATACATATCCATATGTGGAGAAAGCAAAATGCATAATGCATATTTTCAAATAGAAGATATTACTGAATGATGTAATTAATCCTTTTATGAATATTTAAAAAATACGACAGCGAAACATGAATTTTGATGGAATTCATCGCAAGGTAAAAACGAAAAATGCGCGATATTAATCACGGCTAAAGTTATTACTTATATTTTGCTCAATTTAGATTTAGACCACTTTGTAACAAATTACGATTTAATGAATATCGTTCATCAGCTAAATATTTCGAATCTATCACATGATTTATCAAACCTGTGCGCACATTTCAATGATAATAAATTTTCGCGGTATACAGTGCAAACACAACACGCACGCATTATTTCCGCTAAAAATCCTATGGATAAATTTTTGGTTTTGAAAAAAATTATTTTTTATATCAATATATATATTGAATTTTATTTATTCAGAACGTTTTCTTGAATTGTTTGTTTTACATTGTGTGAATATTCAAATAAATATTATTGTTTCTGATCTTTATATTCGATATGTGTTTTTTTTTGTTTATATGATTTTAATTAAGCATTCGCAAACATGCATATATATAATTTATACTGTCATAATATATGATCACGTATCAATCCTCTTATACATACAAAAGATCAAGTTTGAAGTATCTTTTTCTTCAATTCGCAATCCTTGGTTTCCCAAAGGGGAACTTTGTTCGTGATTGTAGCGAATTTCATGTATAATCCAAGTCAAATATAAAGTGATTCGGGTGGGATAAAGCAGCTCAAAAAATAATATTATTACTAGGAGGCGAAAGTTTGTGACGTTTCATAGTGAATCATCCTCCTCGAATGGTTCGAATAAACAAATGTCACAAAATTGCCAATTACAAAAGAAATTTTATATTTTAATTGGCAATTTTTTATTTTTTATTTGACATTACAGGTAACAAAACAAATTTTTTCATTAATTGATGATTTTCTTATTAATTAACATTTATTTATATTTGTAATAGCTTATTTATACATATCTACGGGAGATGATAAAAAATAGATAATCCGATTATTCTACTCATTAAATTTCTGAGCGAAATTAATTTATTTAAAAAATTAAGATGTGTTGGAACAAACAAACTTTATCGCGGTCACGTAGTGATTATGCATATTCTACAACGTAACGCTTGAGAATTTTATCGGCTCACGTTATTCCAGCATATGGTATTCAGATTTTATAATGCACGTACTTCATTTCGAGAATTTATCATTCGCAGTGCACGTATAAATATCACACATGGAAACGACGCATCGTAAAGCACGAATGTCGCGCTCGATGCCACAGTGAGTGAACGAAGCATATGAAGGAATGCTATGATGCGAATTAAATTCGTATCGAATTTAATATCGAATATTTGCTATATCTCTTCGTCTCATAATTCTACGAATTGTAGTATCTAATTTATTATTTATTTCAACAAAAAGATTATAAGAGAAAATTATTATTTTTGTTATACCCTCTATACAAGAATTTTGTGTAATCATTCAAATTTCACATGCTTGATATTACTTTGATTTTGTATTTTATTGCATTTGGTTGAAATGAGAAAATTAATTGTGGATTAATCTATAATACTTATCAATCGTTACGTATATCTGTCTCAAGTTTATTTGTTATTTGATTGATATTAATTTAAAGTTTTAGGAAGAAAATTCTTTTATTTATATACATACATATGTTTTTCTTACTGATTGAACGATGCACATGAAGGAATGCTATGATGCGAATTAAATTCGTATCGAATTTAATATCGAATATTTGCTATATCTCTTCGTCTCATAATTCTACGAATTGCAGTATTTAATTTATTATTTATTTCAACAAAAAGATTAGAGATAAGAGAAAATCATTATCTTTGTTATATCCTCTATACGAAAATTTTGTGTAGCTATTCAAATTTTACATGCTTGAAATTATTTCAATTTCATATTTTATTTTATTAGAATTAAAAAAATTATGGAATAATTTATAAAATTCACCACGCACAATTGCTACGTATATTATTTCATTGATACTAAGAGTTAGTTCTACAAAGAATATTCTTACCCACACATATATATGTTTTTCTTACTGACATACGTACCGTAAAAGGACACACAAGACGATTCCCGGTGTTGATGGAGGGAGAGACGCTGCGGAGCTCACGCCCGTACAAACATAATAACATTCCATTTGCCGTGTTAGATCAGTCTAGATCAGTCTACCGAGCGCGTGCTTTCGATCTCTCTCATTGATAGAAAAATAGTTGCGCGCACATATAAGTGAAATATTAACTATAGCAATTATCTTTCGATCGATGAAGGATTCTGATATTTGTACGGTGATCGCTGAACATATCGTCGCGTTGTGTCAATATTGACGAGAAATTTCGTAAAAGCAAGCGAAGTTGATGAACTTGTAAACGTATCTCGTGAATATAATAATGATCGATATTTAATCAATGCGTAAGAAATATAATCAGTGCGCAGTCGGATTAAGTCAGGTTCTCGTCTTGACCTTTTGGCGCGTGACTCTCTCACACACGTCTGCGTCAGTCACACGTGTCCGCAGTTATCGAAAGGCAATCGTCATGTACGATTATGTGAGTGTTACGAATGCGAATCACAATGCGCATTTACACGTTCGTTGGTAATCGTATTTGCGCGAATTTCGGGAACGTCGAATGTGAAAATATCGAGCGAAATTACATCGATCGACGTCGTGTTTTAATATAAATATCGCGAGTGATACTGAATAATATGTGATACAAGGAAACATCGGACGATTATTATTGTGGTTACGCGAATGTAAATGTTGCAAATACATATAAATCAGTAGTCGATATTCGATCGAAAGTATTATAATTATATATCGCCGCGCGTAAAGTGAATGTCGAGAGAAAATATATATATAAGTATCATGGAAGTGTTTTTTTACGATAGTTAGAATTGTATTTTTTCGAATAAATAAATATGTACCGGGGAAAAGTGTCGGGAAAAATATCGTGTGATTGTGAAATTTTAAATATAAACTTACATGTGCGATGGATCATCGATCATCGATAATTAATAAAGCTTCGGAGAGAAAGATTGGATTGATGGACGAGAGGGAAATAATGATTGGTGAGTCTATAATTAATTAGATCTCGTATTTACATGCAGAGAGTTGATACGATTGTATAATAATTGTGTCAAAAAAATTGTATGAATTTCGTTCTTTATAGATACACACTTGATTGAAAAATGCTTATTAGTAACATCAGTACAAAAAAGTTATTTTAAAAATCTCTGTCTAAAACGAAATGTATTTTTTATACATATTTTTCCACAATTTTTACGTTATCGTTATTTACATGATAATAATTAATGTGGGAATAGCGTACACTGGTGAATTAAATTTTATATTATAAAAATACGCACAGAAATAATTCTTTCGATTTACCTTATATTATAAAAACTAACATAAATGTGGGTGGTTTGAACCAGTAGTAACATAGTAAACATTTGTGACCGCCATTTATTTTAACGATTCTGTACATATAATTTGTTTACGCGCAACAAATTAGACAACCATTGTTTTGACATTTTACATCTAAAAATGTGGAAAAAAAGATTAATCAAGTGCGGACAGAAAATCTATGCTTTGTACATAAAACAGAATTTTTATAGCTTTCAAGAAAAAAGATTTTTTAGTCGAATATGACATCTCGTTTCATTTATCTCCAAGTTATATATATCAGGTGCTTTATTTACGAGATAATTTATTAAGGTATGGATGGTATAAAGATGTGGAAATCAATTATTTTCTGTGCGTCATCGGTATCATCGTTTATATTCGCGTACAACGTCATGCGATGTCGCGTACGCGATCTCGAACTGTGTAATCTTGTATAAATTGATGTTTAAAATTATTTCAATTTAGTGATTATATATAATAATCGACGTCATCGCGAGATCTTTTTGCGCCAATAATTATGTACGAAGTATCGTGCCAATTAAGAGAGAGAGAGAGAGAGAGAGAGAGAAAGAGAGATATCTCACATCCATGATATCCGAGTTGCCAAGCTTTATGACCAATTGCTACGTGAAAATATTTATTGAACTAACTTCTGACGCTTCAATCTTCGTTTCTTACCGGATTATGAGTATATTGATCCGAGATATCGCAAAGATTACTATGTTTACCTTAGTTCGATTAAATTTGTCTTTTATTCCATGAGATTCGCAGAAATAAGATTTTCATGTCGAGTCACCGAGAAAGCAATTAACTTATTAAAAATAAGAATGATATATGTCACTCTCACTCTTTTTATTTAATATCGATGAAATTCGTAACTTAAGCGATTTTACACTTGAAGTACACTTGAAAATACACTTAAATGCTTTATTTTAAAAACTTTTGTAGGCTTTATTTTGGCGAAAATAACGCGTACGAAATTTTTTGAAATAATTCTTGTATGTCTATCTTTCTCAATGATATTCTTATTCCATTTTTTAAAATAATCGTGATGCATGCCATGAAAGAGAGAATTTCTTCTGTCGATATATATCGTTTCTTTTAGATTCCTTTCTTCTGCACATTTTGCTTACATTCAAAGCCAAAAGCTTGACTTTACTACTCGTCGATCGAAACGGTTAAATAGACAATGATTCACGCTACTTTTAAGCTTTTTATTCTCGTAAGAGATCGTTCAAATCTTTTTGAACGATCATCATTCACTTGAAAGAAAATATACATGAACGCAATTATCACGTTGAACATATCAATAAATTTTATAACAATAAAATTTTATAACAATGGTTTTTCGTCGGTTTTCTTACAAATAAATGAAAATGATATCATCAAATATATAAATTATATAAAATTCTATACCTCAATAATAGCTCAAATTTCGGCCAATGTTTTTACATCTCTTCTCGGAAATGGATAGAATAATATTTCATATTTATCAACACACAGATTTTATTTCGTACATTCAATTTACGCAGATAGGATGCTACGAAATTGATACGCTTGATATATTTCGGATATGTTCTACGTATAATCGCAAAATTATTAATTAAAAATATCAGCATTAATAAACAATCTTTGATTAGTTATTCTATCAGCTTTATAAAATAGATCGTCATTTATCGTGTTTTTTCTTTACATTTCGAGCTTAAATATTAATAAAAAAATAAATATTAATGAAATTAAATATTGTTAATCAAGTGGAAATTTATTTTGTTCAGGGATGTTAATTCTCGGCAAATTTTGCATAACGTTGTTGTGATGCGAGAACTAGATAAATTATGAAACCTGTTCGCTATTCCGTGTCGAAGAGATCTCGTGCGTCGCGCGACACGTATCGTATCAGATAACGAGTTAAGAATATTAATCCGCGTTGTAAACATACTAATCTGGGTTTACTTTGGTCGTTTCTCTTAATTTAACTACATCGCCCATCTCCGTATCGCGAAACTCGGTTTTCGCTCAAGATAAATTAGTGCGGACTCGACGATATACTTTTACGTCTACTACGAAATATGTCAGATAAGCGCGGACTTGCTGCTCTATCTCGATGAAGCTCTAAAACACGTGGGAAGAAAGTCGATCCCTCGGGAACTACATCTTGCGTTCTAACTTGTTTTTACGCTCCGCGAAAGGCTGCCCTTCCTATATCTCACCGTGTAATGCACTCGCGTTGAGTCTCGGTCCAGGATATACCCATCCACGGGGCTATCTGAATAAATCAATTTCACCGTAGCACTATATTTCGCTAAAGCGTAGCAACTCTGAGACTTTTATAATATCGATTATGCGGCACGTTTCTTTCGGAAAGTCTCTATTTGATAACGGTATTACATATTGATATGAGAGGATCTAATGTCTTTCCTTTTTTTCCGCTGTCATTTTCCGAACAACGGTAGCGCTTCTTTCTCTTACCGGGATTTATTTTTCGAACATTTAAATATTTAATTTTATTATAAATTTTATTTAGCTATTAAAAATAAAAAATCTGGAAATATACTTCGTTAAAAATATATGTTTTTGAAGATTTTTCGAAACATCTGCATTTTTGTTATTCTTTGAAATATATGAAGAGTAGCTTTATTAATTAACTTATAATATATTATATACATATAAATGTGTGTAAATATAAATAGCATTTTTCTTATTCTTTGAAATACATGAAGAGTAATTTTATTAATTAACTTATAACGTATTATATATAAATGTGTGTAAATATAAATAAATATTTCTATTACACAATTATGTATAAATTATCAATTATCAATTATAATTCTCAAGAATCGATCTTGCTATAAAAGTGACGAAAGGATAATTAAAATTTGCAACGTAGATCGTATCGTTTTAAATTCCTCTCTTTGACACTCGTACTATCGCATTTTAATCGGATATCGTTACGATTTAAAACTCCGCCGTCTGCCTTTCTTTCTCTCTTCCTGTCATGCATGATTGACGACGACGTTCCGTGAGATGCGCCGGCTAAAACGTACAAGGGAACAAGGTATTGAAACGCGATACCGAGCGACAGAGACGAACAGCTGTGAGGCAAGTGACAGCTCCGGAGGAATGGCGAGTCGTCGTTCCTATGTACGCACGTACACGTACACGCTCGTAGGGAGCATGCCCGCGGTAACGGACGAGCATGACACGACGACGACGACGACGACGACGACGACGACAACGACGACACTCCTCGCTCCTCCGCCAGTTCTGGGTTCGCCGGGAGGCAGCTCGTCGGCGCTCTCTCAGTCCGACAACGCACGCGACCTCGCGCGGTTCAGGCAACCCCGTGCTCCTGGTGCTCGTCGTCGTTTCCGCGAACCGTTCAGTTTTCCTTCTCTTTTCTCCGCGTAAGGTCGAGGTGACGCAAAGACGATCGTAGCATTCGCGTCCTCTCGACTATGCAACTAACGACGCCCAGTGAAAATCCCCTGGAGTCCAGTTTTACTCCAGTTGCATCAAGTTGCTAACTAACTAGTTCTGAATTAGCAATTCTCTCCCTTTATCTCTGGATTGTGTGTTTTGTCCGACAGAGGAAGGAGAAATCCTATCTCAGGATTACAGCCAACTAGCGTTGGTGCCTCTTGTGTTTCCAGTGTGTTTCCGTAACGTGTAGGCGGTGTAAGTGCAAAGGGTATCGCGGAGTGAGATACGTTCCTCGAGCATTCACGGTGAGCATCCACTGGAGAGATATTGACCGATTATGATTACTCGCATCGTTTGCGTGAATTTGCTTCCAATCGATTTCTAATGAGATTTGAATCCGGTTTGGAATTGATTTTTAATCATAATAAAATTTTCGCGGACCTCTCTTGCTTCTACCGTGAGAGCTTTCGTGATACTGTAAACTTTCGTAATTAACGGTACATGTGTGAACAAGAGCGGGGATGAAATTTTACTAGTTACAAAAGCACCTAATGAAGCTTCCCTTTTTTACTTGGAAGTTTCGGAGCTCGACGTTTCGGTCTCCATCGCAGCCGCTCTCTAAAATGAAATCGGGATACAATCCCGTTTTTTTTTTTTATCGAGAGAAGAGATTGTGAAAGCAATCCTCAATATCGCTTGTTCGTCGAGTTATGCTTATATAAGTAAGTCAAAAAATTCAATTTAATTGATTTTCAAGTGGCAACTTGCGATTTAATTATGGCGAAATATAATTGATTGGAATAACTCAATAATGGAATCATGCCAACGATGCGAGTACGTAAAAATATTTATTTCTTAGAATTTAAGCTGAATTTTGTTCTTATACTGGTATTATCAAATTGATACTAAAGTAATTTTCAAATTTTGTTCAAATTTAAAAAAATAGTATTTTATCTTTAATTAGATAGAAATAGATATGTCTATGTGTATTCGCGCTAGGAAAATAAGAATTAAGAGATAATAGATAATGTAAGATTAGCGATAATACTGATAATATTGATTATGTAGATGTTATCGCATTATTTTCTGTTTTGGAGTACTTGGAGCCATCGAGAAGCATTTTAATTTCAGCAAAAATATAGTTTGCGAAACTATTCCCCCTCTTTCTTTTTATCTCTTTTAAAATTTCTGTCGTGAGTTATTAAATAAATAATCTTAAACCACCTTACAGGACTTACGTAACAGTTATAACATCAACTTCAAAACAACAAAGTTTTCTTAACGATTAAGATGTTTTCGTGCACAGTAAGAATCTCGTTACGTCGTAAGATAATGACAAGCGATTTTATTGCCGGCAATGAAGATCTTAAATCTGTTGTTCTTCGCGATTACATGAGTTGTCAATTAATTTGAGTAAATAAACGCTGTGAAATTGGCACGAACGGATTCGTCTTCGCAGCATGTAAATTATCACGAATCTCGCATATACGTATCAATCTTCTTCTCGTCTCCTCGTAACTATAGAATACGAGAATATGCATCTCTCGGGACGAATGCCATCTCATTTTCCCGACGTTATCTCTCAGCAGGGAAAGCATTCAGTGTCATTTTATAAACGTAGTGAAGAAGCGGGCGACACTCTGACGTCATTAATTAGTGGCCTACGCGAGCATGATAATCCTTTCACGCTATCATAATATAATAGGATAAAATGTGATAATCGCGGGACTAGATTTCTTTACCCTCTATATTGCATGATGTTTTACATAAATTGATTTAATTTCGATTTCGTCGTGTCATTTCGCGAGTTCATCGATTCTTCTTCCAGTACGAAGTCTGGAAAAAAGGAATACGTATAAATTGTTGTCTTCGCGTGACATTTGAACGCGATCTTTAATTATTCAAAGAGATGTGTTTATCTAGCACATAAAACATCGGGCATCGCAGCTCCCGCGACATATCGCGAGCGATCTTTTTTTTCCACCCCCCGCTAGCTGTTCACCCGCGGGCGACGATGACATAGTAGTAGCGGAAAGAATAGCCGAGCTTTCTGTTTAGCTTTATCTCGTTATAAAGCTGACACCGAGAAGGTCCCGTCCAAGGCATAAAGGAAATGTAATTCAGTCCGTAGTAGTAAAATGCGCACGATAATGAGGACACAACTTGTTTTCGGAGAAGCTTTTCATTTCAAGGATAACTTGGAAGAGAGAATGAGAAGACTGTTATACGTACCAACTGTGTAAATAAAACGTTGACAGGCTGATGTAAGAAAATAGACTTTTTTTTTATCGGCGCTCATTACGCGGATCTTGATAGAATTCGTCGACATTTTATCTTTTTACGAAATATACTTTTTTGTTTATTCTTTTAGAAGAAATTTCTTGAAATCGATAAAAAAATAGTGGAAACGTTCTGTATAAAAGTGTCCGAATTTAAGATAAATCGATAAATCATATTAAATAAAGTGTAAAATCGCGTTCGACGATTTTAATCAGAGTTAATTACAATCAATTTTCAAGCGCAGTTTATAACGATAATATTATTTTGTAACTTTGTTTTGGTTACGATAATGTTTCTTCCCACTCTGAATTATTCTCTCTGCAACGACGCAGTTTCGATGTATTTACATGCACGTTTGTACAATTAAAATTTGATGAAACGAAAATAGCCCCGATATATGTGGTGAAGAGTCGCGCTCATTGTTGATACATACGGATAAAAAGATTATATTTCATCCAAGTCATCAAAAACAGCATGAATTAAATTATAGCTTAGGCAAGCTTTAAACGCCAAGAAATGAAATTTATTTAATAATTTTGAATGTATGAAAAATGTATTATGATCATATTACGTATAATATTTTACAAAATGTATTCGAAGCATTAGTGTAATTATAAATTGAATGAAATATATTAAAATACTTCCGCGAGCCATCGTATATTATGCATTAATTATTTTCGTTTTATTGCACATATTGTAAATATATTATTTTCGTTAATGACACAGTTTATCTGAAATTTTACCGATGCGATAGAATTGACGTCAATTAGACAATATTGTACTATTGTACGGATAAGTCAGTCATTAATAGAATGTCCGGTTGTTTGAACTGAACATACTGTTCGTCGAATTTTGCCATCAATTTCGTTAATTGTTCTATTTTCGTCGTACTCTCTTCATCCGTTTACTGCTCAATGCCCACGTGTCATCCCGATTGTCACCGGTCCGGCGACAATGAACCTCCCGAACTTTTGCATTCTCGTGTCGCGGCGAATTTAATTTTATCCGAGAAATGGCGATGGCAACGCGCGCGCACAAGCAGCCGATTCTGTGCCAGAACTAACTTTGTTTTTTGCCAGTCGACATTGACACTCGGAACAGCTGATCATATGACAACCATGGGACGCATTGACGGTCGCGGCGTCGTTCTTCTTGATGTTGGAACGGAAAGTAGACTGCATTGAGAACAGCGAAAAAAAAATATTAACACGTAAACATATTGAGAACACATAAACACATTGGGAAAAGTCGCAACTGTGCGAAAAAAGAACATTCTCTACGCCTTTCGCCTCTATCGCTTTGGCGAGTTTCACGCATGTCGAAGCTCGAATTGCGTATATGTATATATATTGACTGAAAATAAAATCCCAACACCAAAGAGTTTTGCTGGGTGAATAAAAATTACACAGAATGTTTGTTAATAATATATATAATTAAAAAAAAATAAAATAAAGAAATGTAATAAAAGTAAATACTTATGTAAACAAACATTCTGTATTTTTTATTCACCCAGCATAACTCTTTTTTGGTGTTGGGATTTCATTTCCGTCAGTGTATATTTCGATAGACGTAACGAGATGTATTCTCTTTCTTTTTATTTTTCCCGTTCGAAAATTTAACGGTCAATTTTCGCCGGATGTTTTGCCGGTTGGTTGTTCCATGATCACTTTTTCATGATATTGATGGCCAGTCGCAAACGATGAATATGCGAAGGGAAAATATCTCGTTTGATCGAATTTCTAAAGGTCTGTTTAAAGGGAACAATTTTTGATGATACGACATCGCGATATTATAATCGCATCACATGTTAATCGAAACAAATATTTTAGAGAGAATTAGAGAGAATTAGAGAGAAAGGAAGAGAAAGAGAGAGAGAGAGAGAGAGAGAGAGAGAGAGAGAGAGAGAGAGAGAGAGAGAGAGAGAGAGAGAGAGAGAGAGAGAGAGAGAGAGAGAGAGAGAGAGAGAGAGAGAGAGAGAGAGAGAGAGAGAGAGAGAGAGAGAGAGAGAGAGAGAGAGAGAGAGAGAGAGAGAGAGAGAGAGAGAGAGAGAGAGAGAGAGAGAGAGAGAGAGAGAGAGAAGAGCGTATATGGCGCAGGTGTTGATATTTTAACGAGTCTTGTTAACTATACCCTGTGAATTTTTAACAAGATATTTATCATTGTCCGTCAACACGATATAACGAAAAGTATCGTAAGATTTATACAGCTTTATTTTTCATTAATTCGAACGACGAGAAAATATAATAGATTCTGCATATAGAAAATATTGAAATCAAGAGGATTACAGGTGCGAGGGCGATATAAAAATGTTGCCGCATCGGCTCGTTTCCCCTGCTTATATACGCGCAATATAAATCTTATAGTAGCTATAGAAAACTCGCTATAAGGTTTCGCCTTTCGCTGCTTGGAGACATCGATAATTGGCATTCGGTTACATCGATAAAGGGATAGTGTGACACGGAATTTTTTTTGCGTGCTTTATATCCATGTACATCGCACTCACGATTGGTGTCAATATTTATAGCGCATCATTAATTCCAGGATAGATCAACTTTATTTTTTGACATTGGAGATTTTTTTCAGGTTAGTATGCACTTGTTAAGACGAAGAAATGTTGAATTAAATAAATGTAAAAAGAATAAGAATTTGTTTTTTATATAAAATTATAAAAGTCAATTTTCGATGAGAGATTATTGTTCCGATGATTTTTCTTTTTGTTATAATATCGAACCAAATATATGAGATCTTTTCAGAATATTCTATATAAAACATAACACATACAAACACAAGATTTTTTTATATAAGAATGCATATCAATAATATCATTATTTTATTTTATCGTTACAAATTAATATTAGTAATATGTGTTTGTAGTATAGTGGTTTTGCTACGTTTTGAAAGCTGATGAATGATTTGGAAGCAAAATTGCGATAGGCTATCCAGATAGTGTGTTTTTGTAACGAACGCGAGGTTCACTAGACGGCCTCGTAATCCGATACATGTACACATAGTAGATGATATTTCA